AGCCAAGACCGCGCCATTGCACTCCAGCCTGGGCAACAAGAGTGAAACTCTGTCTCAGAAAACAAAACAAAGAAACACTTATTGAATTGTAAGGACTCAAACAGACACACAAACAGGTTTTACACAAACCTCACCATAAGCTCACATACACTTAATCTTCAAAGAGTGAATTGTTCTCACCCACATCCCATGTGGCAGAGAGGTGCCTTCCAGCCCCCAAGCCTCTCACAAAAAGTGGCTCTTTAGCCCATCCTGATGGGGAAGACATTTTACACTACTTGAGCATATAGACTCTAAAAAGTGCTTTTCTGTAAAAGTAGAACATGGGAGTTCAAGGATGCAAAAGGGCTGGAAGTGGATTGATGCTGCTGCTTCAATCCTTCAACTGTTACAAATTGTAGATGATCCCAGGAACATCCCTCATGACTTGACCCTGTGTCCGTTTGCTTTTCCACTGAGAGCACAGTGAGGGCAGCAAAGGTGTGGGTCTCATGGCTCAGCCGCACGCCCTCCTCTGAGCTCTTCCTGGTAGCGCTCACCTCCACTAAGGGCACATCTGCCAGCAGACTTCGCTCCCCACGGGACCCCACCATGCTCAAGCCTTGCAAGGCTGCCCCCTGACCCACATCTGCTGTTGGGGTAGGATGGAGGCCTAGAAAACTCAGACTAAACATCTTGAAGTGACAGAAATATCACTTCTGGTATCCAGGGAAAGACAGGAAGTTGTTGTGAGGTTGGATGGTGAGCTGGTTTCCCTCATTCCTGCCACATCCCTGGCAGGACACTCTGATGCTATCCAGGTAACAGCGGGCACTGCCTCCACCAAAGGAAGGGCCTGACACCTACCATGGCTGCACAGCTCAGCAAAGAAGGAACTCTTCGGTGCTGTCAGGACACAGTTTCTTGCGAGTTCAGTACACTTTGCATTCTGGGAGTGACATGAAGTGAGTGGGCTCCATGGCCAGTGGCACCTCTCTGACATGGCGGCCTCCCGTATACCACAAGGCTGGAGTTCTGCAGGGTGGGTTCTGTTCCACAAAGCAGTAAGTGCTGGCCTTGGAGGCCAGGCTATGAAACCAGCCCTGCAGCAGCACACGTGACACGCACAGAGGAGAAGACCTCGTCATTGTCAGTGCCCGAGCCAGGTGGAATGTGCCAGAAAATCTGGGGTGGGCAAGTTAGGGAAGGTAAGAAGTTTGATTGTGTCCTGCAGTCTATGGCCATACCACCCTGAACGTGCCTGATCTTGTCTGACTGTGTCCTGTAGCTGGGACATGGTAGGGCTACGTCTCTGTGATGCCACTGTTGGTTTTGAGGCTTCTGTGGTGGTTGGTGCAGAGCTGGTGGTTATGGGACAGTGGATCTTGTATGGTCAAGGGGCATGTGTCCCATGACACACATTCTGCCACGGCTTCTTCCACCCTGTCACTTTAGAGCTACCTGGGTTGTCA